AAAAAAAAAAAAAAACCCCAAAAAGTGCAAGTGGAAGATAAACCAACCTGAAGATGACTTTTGACATGAGAAATGGTGAGTCCTCTAACATCCATCAACTGAAGAACAAGCTTTGGAGTTGCCTCTGTACATCACAAGAAACGAGAATCATGTCAAAGACCAAATAATAACTTTTTAACATTAGAATGTGAGTCCTTTCACGTGCAGACATACGCACATGTAGTTACAAGAAAAAGGAACACCATGATCAAGAACAATCAGTTAAAAAGGAAACCAAAGACCTGAGCAACAAAACAAAACTAGACAAGATTCCACTGCTAGAATGCAAACAAAGCCAAAAAAAAACTTACTGTCCTGGCCTCCAAGCCTCTCTATGGCATGAACAAAACAGTGATGAAGATCAGGAGTCCATCTTAATCTAGGCACCTTCGATCTTATGTATTGCCTCACCCCACTGTTTCTTCCACAACTACCCATTCTTCAATCTTCCTCACAGAAACAAAGAAAATAAACTAAAATCCCAAAGGGTCCTCTCCAAATAAAGGACTTTCACCACAGAAAGGGTAAAAGAAAGAGTCTTTCTACATAGAGTTTCAACAAGAGCAAGGACCCTCTTATATTCGGCTTTCAAAAGAATTCCCTTTTCAGGCAAACCAGTTAAAAATGATGAGGTTTATAGCTCCAGTATATATAGGGCTATGAAGACCCAAAAAATTAGAGGGAGAGGGAGAGGGAGAGGAGGGTGTCTGCAAATTCCTCAAGAAGGATACTGATGATATAGCTGTGTTTCTATTTGTAATGCTGTAAAAGAAAAAATTCAGGTCACGAGCTTCTAATCTTCACCTGCAAACGCGAATGATTACCATTACAAATACCAACTGCAACGCCGAGCCATTCCTGCAGCTGCTTTGACTCTTTTCCCCTTTCTCTCTCTAGAATCTTGCGAATACGCTAACGTCGTCATGATCATAAAATGCCCAGGAATATGTACATTTCATTTAAAAATATATATTTGCGACAGTACTCTGTACTCTCATCAAAACCTTTGTCTAATTTCGTACAATAAATTATTTTTATTTGTACACGTTTGTTTGATTTGATAAGTTATTTCTTTTCTTTCTTATTTATAAGCTAGTTTAGAAAAGTTGGTCAATTAAGCTCATATTTGAGTCACTTTCTCATTTTCAACTATACATTTTTTAATAAAAAAATATTTTTTATCACATCAATAACTTCATCTTCTTGTTCAACCACATATTCACCATCACATAAAAAAAATGCATTCTCTTCTAAAAAATGTACATCAAACACACTCTAACTTATAGGTATTATATACTTGTTAATTGCTATATTCGTATATCATTTGTTGATAACTAGACTACATTTTAATTATATGAAAAGTTGATAATATTTATATATTATTGCATTTATGTCTTAAATTCTTTTCGTCACGTTTCTTATTTTTAAATTAACATAAATAGTTCTTGATTATATTTTTTTCCAAAATTTTCTTTAAGATAGAATAAAATTTGCCAATCGTATTTTTAACCAAGCAAAACAAATAATAATATAAAAATGCGATTAAATATTTGACCATCAATTTAAAGCAAGTTAATAATAATATTATTGAACTCAAATCATGATTAAGGACAAGATTTTCTAATTAATGAAATATTAAAAATAAGACTGTGATAAAGAAAAAAATTAAGGATATAAATGTAATAATGAATAAAAGTTAATGGCCTTCGATGTAATTAAAATATGCGTGACTAAAAAAAATGTTGTGTGAATATAACCCCCTTGGTTAATTGCGTCATATTTTAATTATAATGAAAGCATTCAAATTTTTCACTAATATCTTCATACTTTTGGTCAAAAATATTGTCTGTGATAATGATTTTTATCCAAATATTATGTTAACATGGGTAAAATATTTTTGTCGAATTTATGTTAACTGAGTGCTAGTTTTATACTGTCCCCTTGGACTCTTTGAGTGAAAACCAATTTATGATTTTTTTGTGGGCCCCCCCTCATGTGAGGGGGGCCGGTAGGGGGGATGTACACATCCTCGGTACGAATAGCTGGGTTCATGATGATAGCATCTGTATGATGCAATTTTTTTTNGTACGAATAGCAGGGTTCATGTTGATAGCATCTGTATGATGCAATTTTTTTTATCTATTTTGATGAAAATCAATAAAAAATTAACAAGTGTCCTATCTTTAAAAATGTAGTTAAACTCTCGCGTAACATCACTCTTTTCCAAACCAGCATCCAACTCGCAAATCAATAATAATTTCATCCCAAAACCAAAGAGCAAAGGGAGCATAATTGAGGGGGCCATATGGTTGATTGAGATGATATGTAAGAGGGAGAGGGAGCAAAAAGCATAAGAGTGTGTAGGGATTTGAGATTTGAGGGAGCAAGAGACAAACAAGGCATTAAATAGGACGGCAGAGAAGGAGAATGATGGGAATTCCTGCATGCAGATGCAGTAGGGAATGATGCCTCTTTCTCTACGACCCAACTCACTCTTTGTTTTTCCCTTCAATAACTCCAAACCAAGTATTTATTATCGTTCTCCACTTCACATCCCCCCACCCTGCAACTACTGGTCTGCCCTCAGACAAAAAGAATTATTATGATGGCCTCATTTTTTTCAAATATCACACTCACCATCACCTCTTTGACCAATCACGTTACATGGACGACATCAAGTTTGACATTATGTGAGTTGATAAATTATTGTACATTAATTTTAACAATACCTTTTTTAATCAATGACCAAATTTTCTACTAAGAGAGGATGTCAAATTTGATGTCGACAAAGAAGGTACAAAAAACATAATTTATCTTAAATAAAAGTCAAATCGAACTAAACTTGAATTTACTTTTTTTAGGCGATTATTGAGCCCCATTTTTTTCGACAAAAAAAACATTATGAAAGAGTGATTTGATGGAAAATGTGTGATTAAAAATTAAGAAAACATTTTGAATTTGTGTGTAATATTATTTTATTGAAAAGTATGTGATTGAAAATAAGAAAAGGAAAATGTATTTTGAAAATAATGGAGACCAAACAAGGGCTAGGAATGGATACTTTTACTTGAAATCTATTGAACTAGTTGATTCGATTTAGATCTAATTTGGTTCAATTTTGAGCCCTCGTTTGGCAACCATTAAAATGAGCTTTCTGGAGAAAATTTGTTTCGAAATAGTGATATTTTTTGGAGAATATATAGTTAAAAAGTAAAAAAAATTGAATTTACGTGCAGAATATTTTAACCTCTGTTTGATAATCATTATTTTCAATTTTTTTTCATATACTCATTTTCAACCACACATTCACACAATAAATATTCTGCATATAAATTAAAAAAAATTCTTTACTTTGTAACCACAAATTCTCTTAAAAATTACCCTTCAAAAATTTGAAAATAATGACCACAAAACAGGAGACATAAAATGCATGGGAAAAAACGAACTTCTTACCAGCAATAAAATGGAAACAAATTAGAAAACTGATAAAAGAAAATACTAAGGGGTTGTTTGATGAATATTAAAATTAAATTTGTAGTAAATTTTCATAAAAATTGATGGAATGTGTGGTTAAAAAGTTGTGAAATCAACGAATATGTGGTTAATATTGATTATTTNTAATAATTATGAGGGTGTGTGGTAGGAATTAAAATTAAATTTTCGGTGAATTGTGATAGAAGTTTTTGAAATGTGTGGTTGAAAAAATGTGGGACCCATGAAAGATGTGGTTAATATTGATTATTTGACTTTGATTTAAATTAAAATTTATTTTAATCAATGCTAACTATGAGAATCTAAAGAAAGAATATAGCTAAAACACAATAAGCGATTCAATTACAGAAAAAGAACAAAATCTATCATGTCAAAAGTTTGACCTCGTCACGTCAAGAAAGAGTAGGGTTTGCAGTAGGTATACTTTTGGCGTGTACGTATTGATCCTCGACCTGCGTGTAGGGAATTTAATGAAGAATAATTATAGACTTTAGATTTTTTGCTGAAAAAAATCCATATTGGTTCTCACTCAATTATGAAGGTCTAAAACCAAAAGCTCGTTTGATGGAGACTTTTTCAAGGTAAAAATTGATTTTTTTATAAAGAAAATCGTACAGAGAAATGGTGAAGAAAAAGTAATGTAGTTCATACCTGTAATTGAAACAATTTTTGAAAAGAAATGACTTTTAAAAAAAAAAATTGACAAACAAAGCTTAAAAGAGGAGCAAAGAAATAATGTCATTGCGAAAATGAAAAAAACAAGGGGTTAGATAAAAATTTGAACATTAAGCTGATTTAGCTAAAAATCAAATTTATAGTAGATTTCGATAAAAGTTGTGAATACCATGAAATGTGTGGTTAAAAATGAGTTTGAAGAGCATTCATTATTTTAGGAATCGAACTCATTCAGGGTGTGTTTGAGTCACATTATTTTATAAGAATGTATTTTGGAATAGTAGATTGATGGAGAGTGTGTGGTTAAAAAGAAAAAAGAAAATTTATTGATGTGATGAAATATATTATTTTATTGAAAAATGTGTGGTTGAAAATGAATAAAAGAATGAGAAT